AATTTGTTATTGCTAACAGTACATGCGGTACTTTTTTCGAATTCGAAATGGGCTGGTTTGATTTGGAAAATGGAGACAAAATTTGGTTTGCAAATGTCATTTAAACAAGGTGAAAGGTGCGCGCAGTTTTATGCACAATACACCCCTGGCAATTGTTAAAGAATAAACAAAATTTGAATTCATGCAAAAGATATTAACAACTAAACCAAATTCCTTTGTATGGATCCAATTAAAATGATTAAATACAATACAAATCTGTTTCATGCAGTTAATTTCCACAGATGGGTACCTTTAAGGATAGTATGATTACGTCAAGTAAGAAAATTCTTACTGGAATCGGTATTTTTGTTTCGAATACAAATGGTACAGCCCTCTCCCTTGAAAAAGGTTTCCTCCAGGAAAAATTGAAAACTGGATCGCTTTTAGGGTGCTATGGTTGAAGCGTTAGGCCCCACTCTGGTCTCTGGTGGAAATTGACGAAGCTTGTATTTACTTCGACCGCATTCGTCAAATTTTCGAAGAAATCACTCGAGTTATGAGTATTAGTGCACAACAAAATAAAAAAACTTTCCGAAGTATCCTGCATACATTCATTTTTCGGCTTATTTGAGTTTTTTCGTAAGCAAAATGCCACTGTAATTACAATTTAAGCGCCTCTGATTTTCAACTAAGACATGTTTACGTCGGAGAGTTTGTTTTCTTCGAAATGAGCCCACTATACGTTCGTTTAATTTGCTTTTTCACGTTCACAATTTAAAAATAACGCCTTACTTGTAACGGTGAAATTAATATTAATTGCATTCATAACAGTTGAGTATGCGTACGTGCTGCGCTCAAACGAATCTTCTTTCTTGGAAATTTAATATCGCGCGAATTGCGCTACGTATTTTACTTGACTATTCGCACAATTTTAAACAGGAATTTAACTAGGCCTTGCTACAATTCAGACTCACAGACGCTTTATATGGTTTCCGCGATTGACTTAAAGCTGGAACTCGCTCTTCTCTCTATAATTTTATATAATATGTAGTTGCTCAAGTAAAAAAAACTGATACAGAACCAAAGCAATAATCGCGAGCAAGCCCGCTGTGATGCAATAATGTGCCCGTATTTCATTCCCGGAGTCGCCGTAATCGCGGCAACAGCCCACACTTTCCTAACTACGCTCTCTAATGTATTTATTTATTGAAGTGGGCGGGGTTTCGCCAAGGGCTGCTCTACCAACCCAACCCACTATTATACATTTACAAATATCCATGCCTCGGATTCGAACCAGAGACCCTTGTACAGCAGTCGTGCTTTTACGCCACAAGGCCGGAAATTTATCGGTCGCCTATCGCTACACTTAACTCGCGTTCCCCTTTCGTATGAAGCGGTACCTACATATGTAAATTTTCCCATACTGAAATATACAAGTTCGAAAAATTTAAAACTGCAAAGCGAGCTACCGTTACAGTATTGCTGTCACTATGTCAGGCTGGGGCGTTGAGCATCATTTGGAATGAATCCGGGTGGTGTAGTTATTAATTAAATGTTTCATTATAAATAATTCTTGTTAATCAATTTCGTGGGATTAGTTACGAATTAACACAAATCGATTTTGCGAATCGAGCTTGTAGTCAAGGTCTTGTTTGTCTAATTTTACGCCGTTGTCCGTATTCGCAACAATATCCTCTATTTCACAATTCAATTTTTGTAAAGGTTACCCAATTTTAATTGACCGCTATTGTTCGTATTTATCGTAATAGCTTCTAAGTCGTAAATTCTTCTTCTTTCTACTTTTGTATAGGCGACAAACGCCCGTTTGTTTCCCATCATTCTGCCTCTTGTGCAGTCAATTTGTCGCTTTTTCGGGGACGTCTTACGCCCCTATGGTACAATGGTGATTGGTCACGTGAATCCCTTACAATTATCCGGTCATCCATTCTGTTAATGTGTTCCATTCCACAGTATTCCAATTGAGTCGATTTATGGCTGTCAAGTAATGTGATTGGATAGATAAAGGTAGTTTATTGGTTGAAAATGTTAGCGTGTTGAACCCTGAACAAAGTGAGGTGAACCACCTGTGAGTTATCGTAGGATGAATTTTATTATGTACTAGCAGAATTTCGTACCGCCTATCAGTCCCACTCCCGGTTGGGCCATAAGCTCAGTTTCGGCGACTTCGCCGCCTTATTTCGCCCGCGGGGTCGCTCCCGGATAGAGCATACCGAGGAGCATGCACTCAGTGTCGGCGACTGCGCCGCCACACCTCGCCAAAAGGTTCCGTTCCCGGATGTAACATAAGTTCGGTTTAGCCGGTTGTGGCGCTTCTTCGCGGCCATACGTAATTGATACGTTTGACCATCTATTTTTTCGCCTGAAATCGACGGTATGGACTCTTGTAGACCCGTAGTAGATCTCACTTAGCGCCATCTGTTAGTTATATTGCGATTTAAAATGACCAAAAAGAGAAAAAATATTTTTTACGTTTTTCATGGCGCCATCTATTACTTATATTTGAATTAAAAATGGCGGAAAAGAGAAAAAACACAACAAACAGAATTATCTAATTTGGTGCAGTCGTTCTGAAGTTAATACGGCGCATATATACATTTCGGCGAGTCATTTTTATTTATATAAATTAAAATTGGCGTTGACCAAAGTTTGGAATAGACACCTGTAAGTTACCGTAGGGTGGATCTTATTTTGTGTTAAATTTTAAACGCGCAAATTAAAGTTTTTGGCGACCTTATTTATTTACAAGGGATAATTTACGAATTAAAAACTATTACGATAAATACGAAGCGGAAGTTTTTAAAGACCATCAATTAAATTCTGTGACTGACTCTAACTAGAAAAATGGAGTTACTGAATAATTTGTCGCACGTCTAAAGCAGTTGATTGTGCACAAATAATATTTTTTATATGACGGATTGACTGACCGTGTTTGAACTTCAAATCAAAGGAGCCATTCATTATACGAAACTTTGGATTTTGTAACGACCGTCATTTTCAACCATTTGAATCAACCTAATGGATCAATCAGTACCTCTAGATTGAAGGACCAAGGGGTAGGCATTAATATTGCTGTATAATTATTAAGGTAACCATTTTCTTTTATTTTAAAAGTAATAAACCGATTTCTTTAAGAGCGTTGAAAATTTGGATTTTTTTATCAGAAAATAATGAACAATTGGTGATTTGCTATGACCGGTTTAAAAAATCAAATCGGTAGTTAAACTTACCATGTCTCACTTCTACGCGCAAATTCTCTTCTTACAAATAAAACACCCCATGACATTTTACAGGTGGTTGACTGAGCATCGCTCGCGGGCCAACGAGGATTCGAATAACGCTAAATAAAATCCGCTCTATGGTAATTTACAGGTGGTTAACTTAACTTCGCTCGACGTGAATTTTTATTTTCATTAAATAAAACCACCCTGAACCAATTTATAGGTGTTCGCCCTAACTTTCGTTTTGTATCAACGCGAATGACCTGGCGGTTCTTTCATAACAATTTACCTCCCACTACTTCACTTTTTATTGACACCCATCCCGTGATGCAAACCGTTTCCACCAATGAACTACTTTTACTCATCCGGCCAGATTGCTTGACGACCATAAATCAACTTAATGTGGAGTAATTTCCCACACACATGACGCAGCAACCCCAATAACCACGACTGCACTAAAACCTGAACTAATTGCGCAATTTCTCAAGACTGACCGGAGCCTTAAATTTTCAAACGCATTTTAAACAGTCAGGACCGTATTTGACGAAACCTTCTAAGATCGTCACAATCGATAAATAAGATACACAAGGGATAATTTACGACTTAAAACGTATTACGGTAAATACGAACAATAGCGGAAATTATAAATGCACAAAATTAAATTTGTGTGACCTGAAATAAAATTGAATTGTGAAATAGAGGATTTTGTTGCGAATAGGGACAACGTAAATGTCGGAAGAACAATTCACGGAATATCAATCTAATTCTAAAAAATGTATAAAAAACAGCACCAAAGAAATAGGGCATTCTGTTCTCTATACCTACATATATTGAAGAATTATGACGGACACGGCTTACCCATATATTGAGAGCAGCTACTTTATCACGTATGAACGTCCGTCCGTCAGGCCATTCGCACGATAAATCAAAAAAACGCTCTGATCTATAAAGCTCAAATTTGGTCCACAGGTGTGTACAATTGTTTTCTTGTATGATTAATAGTTTCCGATCTACTTTAAGTTAAATTAGTAGCAGTTACGTGCTAAATCATTATTCACATTTCACAATGTGCGGTTTTAAACCCAAGGTTTACACTGTTCAGTAGGCTGGGCAATTTTTTTGCTTTAAGGGGAGGAAAAGGTTACGTTATAGGTGGATTAGTCACGTCCAATTTTTTGTTAAGTCTGAGCTGGAATCAGTTTTGAGTTTATGCACATTGAATAGTATCCATGGTTATTTTAGCACACAACCTTTTAAAAACCGCATAAAATTAACATAAAATTTACCTATGTGCAAGGCCAAACATATACAGCATCAGTACAATTCGTAATGATGTCGTTAGTCTGTAAACTAAAAGAAAGTTTACTTCACGAACTGAGATGCACTAAATTACCACGTAATTGTTGTTGGCAAAATTAATGGTGGCGTGTCGATACTTTGTTAGTAGGTACTTGCTATAGTTTTTATTTGTTACGCTTCTTGCACAAGGAACGTTAACCTACATAATCTCCCTAATGACAATTTGAACGCCTTGAAAATGTTATCCCGAGACATGACACGCGCGCCCGTGTAACAAATCGAGATACTTTCAAGTGGATAAATTAATTTATGGCCGTAAATTAAGGATAACTCCTAATTAAGTCGTTGACTTGACTATTATTTTACCGCTATCGTGATTGCATTGTTACGACAATGAGAGCAGCTTGTAAACATTTCAATTAAAATTCTTGTCAGTTGATGATGTGAACGAAATAAAGGTTAATCCTTGTGTTTTTTTTCCAGATGGAAGAGTAGAGGTTTCTCGCGAAGACAAGTACCTCAGCACCCTTACGCCCGGAAAAGTGCTGGGCGAGCTCGCGATTCTCTACAATTGTAAAAGAACGGCGACGATTAAGGCCGCAACCGACTGTAAACTATGGGCAATCGAACGACAATGTTTCCAAACAATTATGATGAGAACGGGCCTAATCCGCCAAGCGGAGTATACCGATTTCTTAAAAAGGTAAGTGCGCCACTTAGCTTTTTTGATTGTATCGAGTATCGACGACCCTGAACAACATCCTCGAGAGGAACTCTGCAAGCACTACTTTGTTAATTGGTCAATTCCATAGTCAACATTGCCAAATCTACTGCTATAGGCTCGACTGTAGTCCGTCCCAAGTGCAGTATGGAAACACGTTCGACGTACCGAGTGACCCAATAAGACTGTTCCTCGGCCATATCTCGGGAACCGTTCGTCGTGTGACTTAAGGGTAAAAAAATTATTGGGGAAATCGGTTATGAAGAATCGCTGGAAAATATTTTCAAGTTCTAAAAATGGCCACCAGAGCGCGTAACTGCCATCTTAAATTTTAAAATTGCATTTTCTTTCAATTTCGCATAATAAACTAAACATTCTTTTTTCACATTTTTAAAGAGAACCTGTTTATCTATCATTTTCGTAAAAACAAAAACTCAGTTATTTAAAAAAAAAAGATGGTGTGGGGCGTTCAATTGTTTTTGCAATAACCTGCTTTAACTTCTTAACCGTTTGACCGATTGTAACAAATTTGGTATCGTTGAAAAGATCTCGTGCAATAAGAATCAAACAAAATATATTAATTTAGTTGAATCCTTCTCCGCCAGGGGGGCTAGTTTTGACACTAAGATCCAAAATCCTAAAAAAAATTAATTGAAAAGATATGACTTTTTCTTTATGAAAAAGTAGCCAAATGACATCCAAAGAGGCCAGTGAAAACCGTTTTTCAAAATCTCGTTCCTAACCTCAAATCTTGAGAAAATGAGATTAATTAATGCCGATTTCTAACCAAGAAGCATTTAATATGTTGGCGGCGATGGTTCGTGGTTGATTCGGATAACGCAAATAGAAGATGCGGGCAGCGATGGTCGCATTTTGAAAATACTCAAAATATATCGCCAGCATATTAAATGCTTCTTGGTTTGAAATCGGCATTTTAGAAAGATTACAAATTCAAAAAACTGCACTTTCTGAATGTAAACACAGCAGAATAATTTACAAATTACGGCTATTATTTTTTTATAATGCATCGTGTTTCATTTGTTTAATTTTCCAAGGCCTACCTAAAAGTGTTTTCCAAACAATCTTTCGCGCCATCGACAAATACCGGAAATACGTCAAAAGTAAATTTAAAATACAATTTAAGCATTTTTATTAATTAATTAATTAATCTCATTTTCTCAATATTTGAGGTTAGGAACGAGATTTTGAAAAACGGTTTTCTCTGGCCCCTTTGGATGTTATTTGGCTCCTTTTTCATAAAGAAAAAGTCATATCATTCCATTTGATTTTTTTAGGATTTTGGATCATAGTGTCAAAACTAGCCCCCTGGCGGAGAAGGATTCAACTAAATTAATATATTTTGGTTGATTCTTATTGCACAAGGAATGCTCTTTTCAACGATAACAAATTTGTTACAATCGGTCAAACGGTTAAGAAGTTAATACAGGTTATTGCAAAAACAATTGAACGCTCCACACCATCTTTGTTTTTGAAATAACTGAGTTTTTGTTTTTACGAAAATGATAGATAAACTGTTCTCTTTAAAAATGTGAAAAAAGAATGTTTAGTTTATTCTGCGAATTTGAAAGAAAATGATATTTCAAAATTTAAGATGGCAGTTACGCCCTCTGGTGGTCATTTTTAGAACTTAGAAACATTTTCCAGCGATTCTAACTAACCGATTTACCCAATAATTTTTTTTACGACGAACGGTCTCCGAGATATGGCCGAGGAACAGTTTTATTGGGTCACCCGGTACACAACAGCAATAAATGCACAATTTGATAGTACAATATAGTGTTGTTAAAACATTTTACATTTGACAACATGGCTACGAATGAGAATACATAATGTAAAAACAAAATCATTTGGTTTCTGGAATTTTTTGGCACAGTCTTGGAATGCTTCCGGGTTATCAGATTAATTGAATTCTTCTTATTTTTAAAGCTTATAGGATCTTTTGTTTTTTTGGATGTTTCACGATTCTTCATTTTCCCACGTTTGCTTTACATTAGGTTAGGTAGGATTGCCATCAGAATTTTCGGTCAGTTATTTACGTTGGAATTCTCCGGTTTCTGAATTCTTGAAATTGATCAAATTCTTCGGTTTTTTAATAGATAATTAATTTTTCTCACTTTGGGATGCTTCTGGATCAGATTGTTTACCTACATTCTTGTGTTTCCTCGAATCTTTCAGGTTTCTACGATTCTTCAGGTTTTTTTCAATTTTTGCATTCCATTACACCCTTCTGTTTCATCAGAATATTTAGTCGGCTATGATTCTGGACAAATCCGTAAAATACTTCAGTTTTCATACTCCGAAGATTATTAATTTTCTTATGAGATTATTCGAAATCTTGTGATTCTTGAGGTTCATCGGATTCTTTTGTTTCTTCGGATATTTTACGTTATTCCGAATTTTTAGTTTTTTTTATATTCTTGCATTCCATTACCACCTCGCCACTTATTAGTTCCAATTTAGTTTATTTATGGGAAAAAATGTTCCGCAGTATTGAAATTGTCCAGAATTGCCCTTATAACTTAGGGTTTGCAGCAAAAGAAAGCACACATTAATTGTCTTTAACCTTTTTACCGGTTGCTGTTTTTTTATAATTTTATTAGCACCTCGTATACACAAATCAGGTGCACAACTGTACCCAATAAATTGTTTTTTTTAATATAACTCGCCACTCCAAAACTAGCGCAACGAATTGTGTGCACCTAGGACTCTAACGCTTTCGTGGTAGGTAACAATTTATTTAAATACGATTATACAATGACCCGCAAATGTACACTTACATATTAGGAAAGTAACTGGTTCGCACTGTTCACAGTTGAAAAATATATCCGCCGCCCAGTTTTCGACGACGAAGTTCCGTTGTTGCATAAAAACGCTTCTTATTATTGGTTTTGATCGAAAGGGCAGTTACCACTGAATGTATAAAGTACACACGAGAATAAATTCTTTAAAAACGATTTTTTTTATATACGGCAGTTATACGGCTTTCCGTTCGAACTTTTAATTAACATTGAAATTTTTACGCGATCTCAAAAATGGAGTACCTACATATATTCGCCTTGAAAGTCAATCGAACAATTTCGTTTTACGTGATCCAAATGTGCAGCGCTCGATCTGCAGAGCTTCTCTGAAAATGTTAGTAAGAATCCCGCTCTCCCACCATATTTTTACTTACTCGCCGAATTCCAAATACGAAGCGGACCTTGAAGCGGACCCACCGCAACCGAAGCGTTCACTCTGTTTTTTATACACGTTCGCAAGGGTATAGCCTCTCATTCTCCGTCTATACGGTTTTTAGAACCGGCAACACTATAACATTTCTCTTTTATCTGCTTGAACACTTGTTTCTTATCTTAACGCGTTCCATTCTGTCTGTTAAAATCAAGATCGAAAATTACATGGCCTTGTAGGGAAAATTCAAAGGAACATTTGGAATTTATAGTGAATCGCATTAGCAGATTTCCACCCCTGATGGGCGCTCGTGCGGGAATTCCCAGTCTATACTTGAGATTCGAGAACAGTCCCAGTATTAGGTCTTGTATCATCAGATTATTCGAATTTTACCGCTCCTTCAGGTCTATGGAATTCTTTCCTTGTCCAGAGTTCCCCCCTGGAACAGGTAACCGCGCGGGAATTTCCGTTTCGTTTTTTCGAACTTTACAATTCTTAGATTCTTGAAATTCTTCATGAAAATTCTCAGTTTCATAGGGTTCTTGGGATACCTTAGTTTTTCTACATTCTTCGATTTCTTAAATTTCTTAGATTCCTGTGGAAGAAAACGTGCTTGTATTTGCTTGTATAGCAAACAAAAAGCGACCTGATGGCGCCTGATATCGCTCTGGAAAATTCGCTACAGTACTTACAGAACGAAAATGCAATATTGCCGAGAATTTGAATAAAGGTTTGCTTTTTTTGCAATGTATAGCGCACATTTTTAACGTGTACCAGGCACCCTTTGTTTATGTATACAGAGTTCCCCTGCCACATCATCAAGAAGTTAAACATTAATACCTTTTGCACGGCACTATTGATGTATGTGTTTACTGTTCATGCATTTTTTCTGTTCCCTGTTTTGTGTTGCGCCATTTTGAGGTAAACGTTACTAAAAAAAATTGCTGTGGCTAGCTTTCTACCTAACAGCTTTTCAGCTCTTCCTTTTATGTCCAAGAAAATGAGAGTACACACGGACCGACAGACCGATATCATCGAGATCTTGTTTGATTCGGATTCCTAGTACTTCAAAACGTGTATTTCCGTCAAAAAAATGATTGGTCATTTTTTACCTCACTGCAATACCTCCCTTACTAACGTGCGGGTGGTAAAAATAATTTTAAAAAATCGCGCAAATTTTGAATCTTTTGGAACGTAGCTCTCAAATGCTCAAACACTTATACTGAGTATATTTTTTTCAAAAATGCAGCTTGTACCTGCGCGAATTCCGCCCGTCCGTCCCTCTGAAGGTTTGAGATCACTTGGACCTCGTAGAAGGTTGCGGTTTTTTTTAACTTAATAAGTTGTAAATGGGCTTAGTTTCATTTACATACTCACTTACTTGCATAAAATAAAATTGAACCTGATTTATCCACGACTAGCTGAGCAACAAAATGTTTTTTTAATCAGGAACTAATCTGGAAATTCATGTTAATTAAGCGCTCTTCATTTGACATTAGCCACAATCTAATCAGACGAGGTTCACTGCAACACATCCGGTTAGCTACCGGTGTTTATACTCATTAGCCGGATTAAAATTTCAAAATTCGTCAGTCGAGTATAATGCTCATTGTTACCTGGAGTTTCGGGTCAAGCGATAATGAAATAAACTGCACGATCTTGCAGTTTTAAAGCTCGTTTTGGCTTAACATTGGGAAACTAAAATTAGTTACGAACAAATGGAGGAAACATTAATTTTGTCTCGTCTTCCAAAGGACCAGAGCTTTCGGAGGCTGCAAAAATATCCTTACGGG